AATAAAATAAGGATTAAAAAAAATAAAAATCACCCATGTGAAGAAACGATGTTAAAGTGCCCAGGGGTGGCCCAGCGCATGGAAAATGTTCATACATTTTCGTTATTGGGCATGGCTCTTCCTGCGTCTCCGGGGCAGCCACACTTCAAGGCTTCCTATATGGACAGATTCTGGGATTTTTGTCTCAGAGTTTCATGCTGTAACCTGGAAAGCTCTCCCATGAATTCTTCCACCTTCAATTGCCTGCCAGCCTGGTAGTTTGCACCAGTCAGCTTTAAATGATCAATTCCTTGGGGAGCTTTGCTAACTGTTGAGGGTAAACTTTGGTCCACAATGCCTCAGTACTCCCTTCCCCTCAGGTAATGTTCAAAATTCATAAATTCAAGTTCAGAACCTATCACCAGAACAGATGAACCTAACTACCACATATAGGGCACCTAGTACAACACCAGGCATGAGATGAGTACCTGCTTAAGCAAAGGAGCTTGCTCACTGTAGCCAATGTATTTCCTTTCGAAGACAACTTTTTTTCAGAAGTCAGAAAACCAAAGGTCAAATCAATTGCATTTAAAAAAAACAAAAACCCAAAAAACCAAAACCCCCCCGACAGTCTCATGTAGTCCAGGCCTCAACTCACAATGGTAGCCCAGGACAACCTTCAGCTCCTGGAACCTGCTTTCACCTCCCAAGTGCTGGGGTCACAGCAAATCAGGTACCTGGTCTTACAGCTCACTGAATAGGACTATCCTTCTTGGAAGCACAGAGTCTTTCTTGAGCAAATTACAAAGAGCTCATATCACATTTAGCTTGTCTGTCAAAACCTATATCCCTCCTAGGGGTGTGGGCAGCCCAATCCCCCAGCTGGTTTTTATTCACACCAGAAACTTTAACTCCATTCTAGGCCTCACAAAATGAGAGCTGTGTCCACACAAAGCCACAACAACAAGCCAATTCACTGAATCCAATGAAATAAGCCAATTCACTGGGGGGACACAAACTGTCAAACTGGTTACTTGGTGCCTTATAGGCCAAACAATGTGTGATTGAATCAGCTTACTTTTCAATAGGTTGTCTTGTCATGTGGCAGCTACAGTGAGTGAAAGATTTTCTTTATCATTCTGGTTTGTCTTTTTTCAAACACAAGAATAAGAACATATCTGATATAAGAGTAAATAGCCAATAATGCCTAGTCTTTAAATAGTGGTCAAATACACCAACTTCAGCAAACTGAATGCACCCCAAAGGCACAATTGTGGAGCAAGGCTCTGCAGCCTGCTTTTTGGCTTTAAAGTAAGAGCCGTAGGTCCAGATCTAGTCTGCAAATGCCGGGCCCTGGGAGACAGACCATGCGCAGTAGCAGCAGTGCTTTAGACAAAGCTCTATTCACAGCCACCCAAGTGCAATCTCGGAGTTTTAATTTCATTCAGTGAGTGCGGAAGGCTCCTCTAGTGAGGGTGGGCTGCTGAATGGTTCCGTTGGGAAAAGGACCCAGAAGGAGCATCAGCTTTACAGTCTGCACTTTGATTAAAAGAGATGAAAGCATCCATATCTGACTTCAGTTTTACAGTTAAGATACGAATCTAGCAAATTAGCAATGATGTTGGGCAGTTTTCTTTCTCCCCATCACATTGGTATCCAGAGCAGAGTTTCTCTTCATTAAGGCAGTTGCCAGGGTGAGCACAGAGTAAGCAGTTGAACCATATAAGGTTAATCCTTACACTAAAGAGGAAGTAATATGGTCAGTCTCCTCCTCCCTGGGTACAGTGCCCCATTCCACCTGTAGGTCTAACCTCACTTTATGCCATGCTTCAGTCTCCTCCCTCTTCCAGGACTAGTTTCATGGTGACAAATGCCAAGACTTGTGGCTTACACTTCCCAGTCCTCACAGTCCTCTGAGGAATATGCTACCTTCTACAGAAGGGGCTAGGAGAGGTGCCTCATGTACCCAGAGTACAAATGAGGAAGTAGAGAGTTGGGATCTGATCCTGGCCAGAAGGGGGCCATTTCCCCAGCAGTCTGGTCTGCAAGAGCTGTTTTCCATGACCAACTGAAATCAAAGTGCCTGGCTTTCACCCTCGGTTCAAATAAACGTTGTACTGCTTTGTCATGCCAATAAAAATCAAAGGCTAAATCCCCCCAGCATGGAGGGTGGCTTGCACTCTCTGCCCTGGTGCTATCTTGCTCTTCCAGTAAAACAAGTGTCAGTCTGCATTCTCAACAGCAGCAGTCCTAACAGGAGGCTTGCTTGGTGGCAAAGCGCTTTCCTCCTTTCCTCAGGGATGACAAAGCAGCCATGTTCATTTCAAAGCACAATTCTCCGAGGCAGGAAAACACAATGCCAGCTTCTACTCACTCTTTCCAAAGGATACCTCTAAGCCGACTGCTGGCACGTGATGGCTCTTGGGCCAGAGGAACCATTTCTGTCTGACTTGGAGAGGTGTGGCCCCCATAACTCAAGACAGGCAGGAAGCCAGTACTTCTTGCCTGCTGTTGTAAGCCACCTGACATGGGTGCTGGGAACTGAACTTCAGTCCTCTGTAAAAGCAGCACCTGATTTTACGGCTGAGTCATCTTTCTAGCTCAGTCCACAATCTGAGCTCTAGAAAGCATGGTTTGTTTGGGAAAAAAAAGTCCAGAAAATTATCTGATTTTTTGTTTATTATATATATATATATATATATATATTTATTTATTTAGGTTTTTTTGTTGTTTGTTTTTTTGAGACAGGGTCTCACAGCGCAGCCCTGGTTGACCTGGAACTCACTATGTAGACCAGGCTTGCCTCAATTTCACAGCTTGTCTCTGACTCAAGAACTGGGATTAAAGGTGTGGGTTACCACACCAGGCCCTTATTTAGTTTTTTTGAGACAGGGTCTCATGTGGCCCAAGCTGGCCTTGAATTTGCTCAGAGCCTTTTGCCTCCACCTCTTGAATGCTGAGATTATAGACATGTACTACCACACCTGGTTTTATGTGACTCTGAGGCTCAAACCTAGGGCTTTGTGTAGGTCTGACAAAGCACTCTACCAAGGGAGCTATATTGAAAATATTGCCAGAAGTCAGAAAAAAAAAAAAAGACTTCTATTTAGTGTGCTATTATGTCACCTTCCTAATTCCCAGGTGTGCTAAACACCCCACAAATTAGAAGATTGTCAGCATTCAGATAAGCTGTTCCAGCAACAGTTTTACTGGGAGTGGAGGAGGAAGAAAGCCAAAATGTTCAAAATGTTTGGATTCAGTATCATTAAACAGTGGCTCTTGGGGGAAAACACTGGAGGCTGTTTACTGGCTTCCTAAGGACTAGTGTCAGTGGGTCTTCTCACCAAATTTTGAAGATCAAAACACATTAGGCAAACAGGGACCCTAAGTAGAAAAACAAGCTATGAGAAAACCAATGAGAAGAATGTTCTAATAGTAACCATTAGTGGGGGTCAGAGGCAGGGGGCAGAACACATACAATATTGTCCTGTCCTTTCTGACACTGCATAGGTAAGAAAACTATAGGAAGCCCTGGCCAAGGGTGACTGAGGAGCACTCCCCAGTCTGGTGTCACACTCCTCCATCTGCCAGGGCTCTGGACTGTCACAATGGCCTCCAAGCTCTATGCCAGCTCTCAGGACAGCCTGGATTTCAGATGCTTTCGATGATGTGTCTTCTAAGGGTGTCAGTTTCTGGCAACTTTCCTTTCCAAAGGTCCCTGTGATGCCTCACACAGCGGCTGCTCACTGCAGCAAGCACCATCCTGTGTGTCATAGTGCTGGCCAGGGGCTGTCATATTCCTGTTGAGGTGCCTCACCAAGATGCCATTCAGTGGAGAGTATTCCTCCTACTGTAAATGGCGGGGAGGAGTTGGGCAATATTTTCTCTGTCTCAAATCCCAAGTCCAAGGGGAAAGGGCATTGCTTCCAGCTCTCTGCCTTGCAAGCATCAAGCTAATGGTTCTCAGAAAGGAAGACACTTCATCTGCTGCTGCGTTTGGATTGAGGCCGGACATTTATAATGCTACTGCTAACTTTTTCTCCCTGCCTCCTGTCCATCCCTGCTTGCCTTATGGCCCCTAAAACAATTCAGAGGAAGCAGTGACCAGATGAAGTAAGGGACAGTCTCCCATTTTACAAATAAGGGACAGGTTTAACTCTGCGGAAAGATTCTTTTCCATTTTAGCACTTGATTTGTGTGTGCAAAGAACTGTCTGCTTCCCCACTAATGTAAAATGAAGCGCCCTTTGCAATCAGCATGGGGAAGGAGAAGCATCTGAGAGATGTATGCACGGTGTCAGTGCAGAAGGGCCCTCAGGTGCACATCTGCATTTATTTAAGTGAAGAAGGAGCACACATATATTGTCACTGACTTGGTCACTTGTCGGGACACTGATGAGTTTCCCACTAGCTGCTCATTTGGGTAATTACTGTTATAAACAAAGGCAACCCAGGCTGTGTATCCAAGATGCTAACTACATGAGACCTGCTAATGGTGGTTTACCTGACACACAGATGATTAACACTGAGCCAAAAACCAAATGCACTCTCATGCTTTTACTCTTTCTTTTTTCTTGTTTTTGTTTGTTTTTCTGAGACAGTGTCTCCCTGTAGCCTCAGCTGGCCTGGAACTCGCTGTGTATGTAGAACAGATCAGACTGGCCTTGACTGCAGAGAGATCTGCCTACCTCTGCCTCCCGGCTACTGGATTAAAGGCATATGCCACAATGCCCAGCTTATACACAGCTTTTTTTTTTTTTTTTTTTTCCAGTCTTTTTGAGACAGGGTCTCCCTGTAGCCCCAGCTGATCTGGAACTCGCTATGTAGACCAGGCTGGCCTCAAACTCACAGAGATCCACCTGCCTCTGCCTCCCAAGTGCTGGGATTAAAGGTGTGCGCCACCATGCCCGGCTTACACAGCTTTTTTTAATCAAGCTGTTCTTGAAAAGTCATCATCAATCAATTCTCCCCCAAGAAGTTGTGCAGAGCACTCTTCTGAGTCATCCTAAATCGGTGTCTTACCTTAGTGTTCCTCCTTAGACTGCGAAGAATATTTCTCCTCCTAGGGTCCTCATCTGTTTCGTATGGAATGACAGCATTGTCCCCTTTGTAGCCCTGGGATGCCTGATCCTCTTCTTTCTTTCGGATGGGCCCCAGTTCATCATCACTCCCCACGCTGAAGCTGGTGCGGTAACTAGCAAACCGCCCGAGCCGGGTGCATCTTGTCCTATACAGCACAGGCTTACTCACCATGGACACCTTGCGGCCTCGCTCTAGAGAACTCGTGTCCATTTCACTGTCTGAGCCATTGCCACTGCCATTGGACTGGGCTTTGTTGATGTTGCGAATGGTGATGATCTTGCCCTGGGTGCTGTCGTGGGGCACCGAGTATATGTTTTCTTCTTCATTCCTCGGCTTGACCACGGCATCCATGGGTTCCGCGTAGTCAGAAGGATCAAACCCATCCTGAGGCAGCCAGGGGCTAGAGGACACAGACTTTCTCTGTCCATCCCGGTGGCCTTGGTCTAGGTAAGACAGATCTTTTGTGATGTCAAAATGGACAGGAGGCTTTGGTTTGACTGGCGGAGGTACTTTGTTGTTCAGTTTACTCTCAAAATTGCTCATTATGAAAGACAGCCCGTCATTTCCCTCCAGTTCCATAGAGAACTTGGAATGGTCTTTGGACAGAGAGGGCAGAGTAGCATCTTCCCGGAACAGGCTATATGATGGTGGCTCGATGTCTTCTTCTGAGTCCTGCAGGTTTGAGTTGCAAAGTGGTGACCCGGCTCGCGGGGAGTTGAACACCTCCTCGGTGGTGCTGCAGGCCTCAGCAACGTTGTCATACATGTGCGTGGCCTCGATTATGTTCTTTTTCTCCACCACGTCTTTAAAAAATGGGTGAAAGATCTCAAGTTTATGCTGGGGCTGGCTACAAGGGATGCTTGTGAACCTCCCATCAATTTCTTGTGCAATCTCCTCCCCCTCTGTAAGCTGCTCTCGACTTAGGTCATTGTCCAGGACATCTATAGCGCCATCAGTGAGTGCGACAAGCTGGATGGGGATAATATCCTGCACTTCACAAAGAAAGGCACGTAACATCGCCAAGGAAGCTTTACGTTTGGCTGAATAAAAAACAATGTACCCATGAACCAACCTGCTCTTTCGGATGCTGAACGAGGAATGGTATGAAAGCACAGACAGCTCAATGCGTTTCTTATGTAGTCCAATTGGGAGTTCAAGTAAAACAGAATTGCTGCTTCCACAGTGGGAAGACTTACAGGTTTGGGACTGCAGGACAGGAGAGAGGATGTCATCTGCACTAAAGGGGTCGCCACACATCAGACACATGACAATTCGCAGGTCCACATCAGCCAAATCTTTGATGCTAGCAGTAGAACTGACCAGGTTTAAGTTACGCTTAGAGTCCAGGAGTCCCTTCAGAACTTGACTGATCTGCTTCTCATTAATGTTGCGTCCATAACCAATGCCAGCAGAAGCAGGGTCGAGGAAGACACACTGTAGTTTGCTAGCAATCTGCTGACCTTGTTGTATTAAGCTGTGCAGGGTCTCTCCACTTGTGTCTCCTCTCTTGTTAACTAAGATTAAGGTCAAGGGGAGGTGGACTAAGTGATTATCCCGCCTGCCCAGTGTGGACTCTCTGCTTTTCTCTATACTCTCCACCACATAGGACAGTGACTCCTTTGAATTGTAAAGGCAGAGGCAACCATGGGGCTGAAAGGTTGGTGTCTGGAAAGAGTTCACAGGAAGTCTAACATTCCCCTCTATTGGCCTCAGAGAAAGCTCATACATTTTGCCATCTATCACATACTTGTCATCATTTGTACAAAGGGCTCGAATTTCATTGGCCAACTCTCGTGCAAGACCATCCTTTCCCAAGATAACCAAATTGATCCTATCAATATTGGGATCAGAGAGAGAGTTCTTCTGATTCCGATCAGATGGCCGGATCAAGCGTGAGCTGATCAGGTGCTCGATCTTGGCGTCCACACAGACTGGGCAGCTAGGGCATGTCTCCTTCGTGGGGTGGTACACAAAATGAATGTGCTTTAGGATGAGGGCATCACGCTCTGCTTGGAGCTTTTGTAATGCTTTAAATCGCTGTTCTTCCCCCAGAACATCCTGGATGACACCCATCTTCTCTTTGCTGGGCTTGGCATCCAGCTCCAGCTCATAAAACAATTCTGAGTACTCCAAAAGCAACTCCTGAAACTCCTCCTTTGCTCGGTCTATGATCTGCTTTTGGTGCTTGCCATAGATATCCATATATACAGATTCTTCCAGCCACTGGTAGAAATCCTCATTCATAATAAAACTACGAGCCTCTTCCCAAGGCTTCCCAGGAGTTATGAAAGGAGAGGTCTCCAGATTTTCTTTGAATGCCCTTCGCATCTCAGCTCTCTTCCTCTCGTTCCTCAGCTTCTCTAAGTGGGTGTCGTACAGTTGCTCAGCAGGAACAGTATCCATCAGGTCAAAGGGAATCCGCTCATTTTCCATGTTGTCGATGTGGCTGGTGGCATCCCATGGTGTCTCCTCAAGCACGACAAACCACTTCAAGAACTCTGGCTTGGTCTCTAAGAGTTTTTTGGCTTTTATGCAGCTGAGGTGGTCAATCTCATCTAGATTTGGTATGAGGGCTTCAAAAGCCAACGGCAGGGCGGCCAGGTACAGCTTTCTCCGGCGCTCAATATGCTCGTGCTTGAGGCGGTAGATGTGTTGCAGGAAGAGTTTCTTGGCCTTCTGAGTCCCTTCCAGGTAGACATAGTCCTGGTACTCTGGAGAGGCCTGCATCTTTCGGCTGACACTAAGCCAGTTCTCATTATGGTTCTTGACAATGCGGCTCACCAGCCACTCATACTTGTCCTTTGCCGTCGCTATCTGCTGACTCTGTTGCTTGAGAGCCTCAAAATAAGGAATGATTTTTGTCTTTCCCCGACTCTTATCAATGAGCTGCACTAAGGTGCTGAAAGCCAAGTCCACGTTCACATTGGATCTCGCTGAGGTCTCTACAACCTGGAGGTTCTTTTTGCTTAAGGCAAAAGTATGTGCATCTCTAATGTACCGCTCAACACCCTCATCACACTTAGTCAGGACCACCACTATGGGCTTTTTTGTTTTCGCAAGCTGATTGTAGAGGTTGGAGATGAACTTGAGCTGATCATCGAAATTCCTATTCATGCCCCTGCTAACATCGATTCCCAGAAGGAAACCGTCAACCAGCAGCTTTCCATCTGGCATTTGTTTCTGCTCAAAGTCCTGTTCCAGCCCCAGCTGGTCAGTGCAAAAATACATGAGTTTTTCAGCTGATGCGAGCTTGGTGGCCGCAGCTCTTTTGATGTAGGGCTGCAGTGCCGTGCTTCGATGAGGTTGAAAAGTCTGATCATCAATAAACTCAGTCTGCTCCACAATGTGCATCTTACATTCCACACAGTCCTCCAGGGAGCGGCTAACTTCTCCCCAGTAGAGAAAGTGGTCATTGTTGACCACTCGCCCACCGAAGTCACTGGTGCTGAGGACAGAGGTGTGGTCGAGGTGAAACTCATCAGCACTCGGGCGCACGAAGCGGTTACACAGACAAGACTTCCCAATGCCACACTGGCCTTTCTCCTTCTCAGTCCCGGACAATCCCACCACACTGATGTTGTAGGTGGGAATGCGGACATCTTGCTTTCTTGCCATCATCATCGTCGAAACATCCTGCTACAATCAGCCACTTTCAAGATCAGATTAGTGTTGCAGTGGAGTGGAGGCTTCTCAACATTACCAGTGGAGTCTGGCTGCAAAAGTGTCAGGTCCCATAGTGTTGTACACCAGTATGATGTCAGCTCTTAACTTCTCATCGCCAAATCGTCAACATTTCTGCCTTGATGGGGAGGAGAAAAAAAATCCCATTAGCATCACAATTCTATTTTATTTTGTCTTTTTGTAGCCCCACCTGGCCTGGAACTCACTGAGATCTGTCTGCCTCTGCCTCCTGAGTGCTGGGCCTTTGAGTGCTGGGTCTAAAGGTGTGCACCACCATGTCCAGCCACAATTCTATTTTAACCACTGAACTACAACACAAGTTTTTTCTGTCTTTTCTTTACTTAACAAATGTTCTGTAAACCTAATGTGCCAGGCCTTATGCTAGGTAAAGATGTGACTAAGGCTGACTTCTGTGTTGAGATGGCTCAGAGGATTCGATTCCTGGATCCCACGGAGAAAGGCAAGAACAACTCCCAAAAGCTTCCTCTGACTTACACACTGTGGCATGTACTGTCTATACTTATACATCATATACATAATGACAACAACAAAAGGCTAACATCAACGTGCTTTTTAACAGGGGTAATCCAGACGAATACAGAAGATAAAAACAAGAAGTGGGCAAAATGTTAAGGTGACCAGTGAGGGCTGGAGAGTGGCAGTGGGGCAGAGGGGGCATGGTACTCCAAGGCTAGGACAGGGTGGATATAAGAGTAGTCAGAAATGTCTTGTGCAAGAAAAGTAATGGGGCACCTCAGAAGGACATTGGTGTTATCACGAAGGGATTCCCATGAACCAAGTCTACGACAATCTGAGAATTAATGCAATTAAGAAATAAATTACACCCCACTGCAAAAAGTAGGAACTTGAGTCTATACAACTGGATCAGATAAGACTCATGACTGAATGTTAAACCTTGGGGAAATCTTGAGGAGGAGGATACTGAGGAAGAAGTCAGGGTCTCCTGGTTGACTACTCATTAGTTACAAGGAGAAAAGCCCTTAGTAGTAATTATAGTAGAGAAAGTAGGCAACACCTTGATTGGGAAATCAACATTTATTATCAACAGGGTGTGGGAGCACTTGGGGTGGGGGTGGGGGACACAAAGCTTTAAGATTCACATTTCTATCAAAACAGAGCTGTAGCAGCATACAGACACTGACCAACGAAGAAATTGAAAACTCAGAGCCAAGCTACCACACATATGGCTAAATGACTTTTGACAAGGATACTGAGACCATTCAATGAGGGAAAGGACAGGTTTTTCAACAAACATGCTGTGGCAATCACATCTTCACATACAAAAAATAATGTAGATCTTTACACCACATTCAGATCTTTACACCATAATAAGCCTAGAACTTGGGAATGTGGCTCAGCAGTAGTTTGTCCAGCATATGCAAGGCACTGAGTTCAATTAAACAAACACACAAACAAACAACAAAACCCTAAATGAATCAAAGACCTAAAATTACAAAACTCTTAGAAGAAAACCTAGGGCAAAAGATTCCCAACATTAGTGCCTCACAAGATGGCTCAGCAAGTAAAAGCACTTGCTACCACACTTAACAAAGGAGAGATCTGACTCCAGCAGGTTGTCCTCTGACCTACATACACCACACACACACACACACACACACACACACACACAATTTAAAAAATAGATTTACAACATTAGACTTGGAATACTGTATGATTCCACATGTATGAGGTACTTAGAGTAGTCAGAGACAGCAGATGCTGGTTGCTATAGGCTGAGGGAAGGAAGATGGTAAATTCTGTGTTATATGTATTTTACACAATAAAACACTGAAGGGGAGGCAATACAGGAAGAATAAAGCAGGGCTTGGGGATGTAGCTCAGTGATAAACACTTGACTAGGAAGAATAAATCAGAAAAAAGAATCAATATAAATTTATGAAGGTGATGGCTATAATGGGAGAAAGTATCCCTACTTTTAGAGAATTAGTATTTGGGGGAGGGGGCAAGTGTTCAGGAGGAAAAATCTGTTTATAATGAGAAAGAGTAAGAATGCAAATGAGCGAGTAGGGCTGTAGCTCAGTAGCATGCAAAGCCCTGGGTTTGATCCCTACACCACAAGAGCCAGATGTGACAGTACACACCTGTAATCCTAGCACTTGGGAAGTAGAGGCAGGAAGATCAGGAGTTTAAAGTCACAGTCAGTTCTAAGTCAGCATGACCCACATGAGGCCCTGTCTCCAAAGAAAGGAAGATGAAGAAAGAAAAAAATGAAGCAAATGAATGAAATGTTAGTAGATGAATCTGGATTAAGTGTGTAAGACATTCCTTTGTGTTTTATTTATTTAAGAATATTTTATTATTTTTATGTGTATGACTTTTGCCTGCAGGTATGTAAGGGTACCACATGCACGCAATGCCCACAGAGGCCAGAAGAAGGTATCGGATCCCCTGGAACTGGAGTTAACAGATGGTTGTTAGTCACCATGTAGGTGCTGGGAACTGAACCCAGGTCGTCTGCAAGAGCAGTCAGTGCTCTTAACCACTGAGCCATCTCTCCAGTCCCTGTGTTGCTTCATTGATATGACCTTTTAGAAGAGTGCCATTATTTCCAAATTCCTGACATGCTTGAGAATGGAAATATGCAATGGTTCCTCTGAAAAGAACCACCTGTGTCAAGTCTGCTAGTGTCCTCCATCTGTAACGGAGTATTTACTAGGAGAATGAACGCTGCAGTAAGTATAACGTACTTCCAAGGGTCTTGAAATCCAGCCTTTTAAGCTTTTTGGAGAAAGCTCCATCTCAGATGATTCCTGTAGTGCATTTTAGATAAAAGGAATAGGCTATGCAAAGACTGTGTCCTCCCCAGAGAAAAAGCCAGGCCAGTGGGGGGAACAAGCAAGAATAAAAAGGATGTGGAGAGAAGATGGTTTTGATGTGTGAGCAACTAAGTAGGGAATGGACTGAGTCTCCTAAAATACTGCAGATTTCTTTCCCCAGGGCTGTGAGGAAGCAAGGATGGGGCTGAAAAGCACCTTAAGGGATCCAAAGTTTTAATAATTTAAGTAATAAACTGTTATCATGGTGATACAAAGTCTTCAGCAACTTTTCAGCTGAAATAAGTAAAATAGTCTTTGGCCATGTCAATAAAGTCCTACAGCTCCTACTGCTGTATAGCACAGCCATTAACTTGCACATTGGAGTGTAACTGTGTGACTGCTGGGCCTGCAGCCAAATGAACAGTCTCTTGAGATAATCTAAAAATAAACAAGCAGGGGCTGGAGAGATGGCTCAGTGGTTAGCCCTGGCTGCTCTTGCAGAGGACCTGGGTTCGATTCCCAGTACATACATGGTAGCTAACAACTCAGTAACTCCAGTTCCAGGGGATCCGATGCCCTCTTCTAACCTCTGTAGACATACATGACACAGATGTACTTACACACATAAAATAATAAAATAAGCAGATCAATCTTCTTTTGGATCTTATTTACAGCTGGTAGGAACTACGCATTTCCACGTTCATGCTTTCTGTAAGCCTCACAGAAATATCTGGAAATCAGATTATCACACTACCTTATTTTTTTATCTTTTTATTTTTTATTTATTTGTCTGTGGTGCTTCAGGTAAAAACATATGATGAGCAGGTACTCTATTGCTGAGCCACACCCACAGGCCCTCACTGGGAGGATCTAGGAAGGGGCTCTACTACTGACCCATGCCCTCAAGTCTTCACTGGTAGACTCTAGGTGAGTGTTCTAATTTGAGCCACGCCCTCTTTTCTCTTCCCATCCTTCTCCCCTCCCTCTCAGTACCCCTTTGTTGAGACAGACAGCATCTATCTATCTATCTATCTATCTATCTATCTATCTATCTATCTATCTATCTATCCCTGGCCTCCAACTTGCTACAATCTTCCTGCTTCTGCCTCCTGAGCTTTCAGTTTAGGCTCCTGCCACCACTCTTGGATTTTTTTACTATTATGACAGAGGGTCTCACAGGCATGCCTTGAACTCAAGTTCCTCCTGCTCCAGTCTCCTAAGTAGCTAGGATTATAGGCATGAGTCACTAGCTTAGTAACACCACACCTTATTCTGACTGAACAAGCGGGACAGCAAAGCTGCCACTGTGACAAAAACCTCAAGCATTCACAGGTCTCTTCACATACTATCTCCCATGGACAACTCAGAAAACCAAAATTCCCAAAGAAACTGAGATCTGGTATGTAAAAACTGTTTAACTATTTCAAGAGAAACCCCAAGGACCATAGGTAGTTGCCTACAGATGACAGGCTTGAGGCCAAACTTTAGCCTCAGCAAAACAAGCAGGGCATCTGAGGGAGAAACACCCCGCCCCCAAACACACACACATACACACACTTCTCACTATGTAGCCCAGGCTGGCCTTGAACTCCAGTTCTTCCTGCTCAGCCTCCTGAGTGCTAGGATTATAGACACATATCTGCCATCATGTCTGGACCCAACTGGTAATTCAACCCAAAATTATGCTAACAACCAAAAAAAGTCACCCAAACTTAAAAATGAGAATCAGGTAGCATGGAAGTAGTTAACTTTTAGACACCTGGTAACTTTCCACTTGTTAGAAACCTATAAAGTTCCTTGGTTTAAGTACATTCTCAGCTTTGACATCTGGATAATGCAGTTTTACTAGTTCCTCAATTGGACTGAATTACATGGTAAACAAAGACTGTTATAAATCTAAAGATGTCTCAAACACTTAGTTTGAAGGAAATAACTTAAAAGTGCCTGGTCACACACACGTTCGACTTCTCAGAGATGGGTTAAAAAGAACAGCTGAGTCACTAAATTTAATGATCAGAAGGCCTCAAAGAGAGACTTCATAATGTCTTCTAAGCTTAAATCTGGACGGAAACAGTATTCCTTCCTAATTGGAAGCTAAGGGACAGGAACAGGGAAATCTGAATATGCATTCAATGATTTTGAAAATTCAATGATTTTCAAAAGTGATTTTCAGAGGAAAAAGAATCCTTTAAGTTAACTCCCAAACTGCTGTGATGGCTCATGCTTGCAATCCCAACACTTAGGAGGCTGAGGCGGGAGACTGCTTTAAGTTCCAGGCCACCCTAGGCTACATACAATCTGTCTAAAAAAGAAGATATTA